GGCGGCGGGAGCGGGCAGCCGCCAGTGCCGCGCTCCCCGACACCGCTCGACCTCGCCGCCGCGTCCGCCTACCACCACAGGCGCCTCTCCCCGTCGCCCCGGCCCCCGGCTCACCCGCAGGTGCGTCTCCCATCGCCCTACGGCCAGATCCCCTCCGGCGCCGCGGCCCACCACGCGCGCTCGCTCTCGCAGCCCCTCTTCTTCTCTCTCGACTCGCTCCCACCGCCGCCGTACGCCGATCTGGCCGGCCCGCCCGCCATCCCGCCCTCCCCGCCGTCTTCAAGCTCCGACCCGCCGTCCTTCGGCCTGCCGCCGCGGAGGGCTGGCCACCGCCGCTCTCAGAGCGACATCCCCTTCGGGTTCTCGCAGCTCAGCCCGCCCCTGCCGCCCCCGGCGCCGGTGAAGCGCGAGGCGGCCACGGGACAGGATGGCGGCAGATTGGAGGGCGACGACGCTGCGTTGTACGACCTTGTCAACGCCTACATGGACCTGGACGGGATGGACGCGCTCAACTCCTCCGAGGACCGCCACGACGACCGTGACATTCACAGCCGTGCCAGCGGCACCCGCGCTGCCAGCGCGGCCGAGAGCAGCGAGAACGAAGCCGAGAGCCAGTCCACCTCAGCGGAGAGGAAGGACGGAGCCAAGTCTCGGCATTGTCGCAGCTTGTCCATGGACAGCTTCATGGGGAAGCTCAACTATGCCACAGGTGACGAGTCGCCAAAGCTACCACCGCCGTCCCCCAGCGGTGGCCTTTCCAGGAGCGGGAGTGGGTCCTTGGACGGTGGTGGTGCTGCGTCACTGTTTGGTACCGAGTTCGCCAACGGGGAGTTCACTGAGGCTGAGAAGAAGAAGATCATGGCAAATGAACGCCTCGCAGAGATAGCTTTGACAGACCCTAAGAGGGTCAAGAGGTGTGCATTTCTTCATAGAGTGGAAAAAACATTTTCCCTTCAAATTAAGCATCCTGACTTTTTAAAACTGCCAGGATTTTGGCAAATCGCCAGTCTGCGGCAAGGTCAAAGGAGCGCAAGATGAGGTACATTCAAGAACTCGAGCATAAGGTACAGGTCTTGCAGACAGAGGCGACTACGCTTTCAGCACAATTGACAATGCTGCAGGTTTGTCTTGTGAAGTTGCTCTGTATTTTGATTTTGCTTATGTTAGGGTGGAACTAATTCTTGATGCACTTGTTTGCAGAGGGACTCTGGAGGACTTGCAACTCAGAACAATGAGTTGAAAATAAGGCTGCAAGCAATGGAGCAACAGGCGCAGCTGAGAGATGGTATGCTTCTTATGGTCCCATTCTTCATTTCTTTTGGTGAAAATTAAACTGGGTTATGTTTTCTCGGGAAACTAGCAAACGGCAATACAAAAATAGAGCTCTTCAAGTATTACACCAGCATGTGTTTGTGCTGACTTTCGACTGTCTGGTCTGGTTTGGTAGGCATGTAGTATCACCAATGCAGATCAGTCTTTTTATTGTTGGGTCGGGATAGTTTCTGTTTATGTGCACTCGACACTGTAGGGTTTATCAAGGCCAAGCAAATCAGTTTACATTAAAATGCAATAGTCGAGTTGTTCTTGGATGTTATTGCATGCTTCATGTGTTTTTTTATAGATATATTGGTTCTTAATTTACCATGCATCTTGGTTGTGTTTGTAATAAAAAATTTCATGGTTCGGTGCTGAAAGATGACTTGCCAATATTTATGCAAGCCAAAGCTAAACCAATTGGTTGGGTGCCAACTTCTCTCGAAACTTGCCTACATTTGGCAAGTTTTGGAGTTGCAAAATGTAGGTATGCCAAACTATTGGCTAGCAATTTTTGGCTGCCAACAAAAGCATGGCCTATTACCTTTGTTTTGTGATTTACAAAAGATCGTGTGCTTGTTCTCTGTGATAGTCAGTTATATTAAGTCGCCAAATGTAAGCATACTAAAGTATTCGCTAGCAATTTTTGGCCACCAACCAAAGCACACTCTATTACCTTGTTTCGTGATTATTATACAAAAGATCACGTGCTTGTTCTCTGTGTTAGTCAGTTATATTAAACTATCATTATAAATATTGCTGATTCTTTTTCGCGCTGGTGTGCACATTTTCCTGGCGTTGATTACTTGCTGACTAGATTAAAGTCCTTTTGTCTCAGGAAAGACCATGTGGTTTGCAAATTGGTTGAGTTGAAAATTGATGGCACAGTATATTCATTTTATATTATTACTTTATTAGTTGCGAGGGGTTCGGTCCCCCGGTGGCTGGGTTGTACCATCATGATACATACTTTTGCTGGGATTTTTTTGAACAATATGTATTTGGAAAATCTTGCATATCTTAACACCGTTTTATCATTAATCAATATATGTTTTAAAATATTTTGAAAACCTTGAATACCTCAACACTATTTTATCTTTATTTCCTCATGTGCGTCTAGTTTAACTAGGTTTGTTACTCTTGCTTACATGAGGATATATCAACTAATGTCCAGTTCCTTTAGATGCTAATGTGACCTACTGTTCGTTTTGGTTCCTTTGGGCACATTTTATGGTTGATAAGAACTATAGGCGTACACTGTAGAAACTGTCTTCTTACTCGCTTTTGTCGAAAAGGCTTGTATATTTTTCCTTAATGACATTTGAAAAGATTCAAATATTCCATATATCTAGTCTTAAATTGTGTTTAATAGTCTATTCAGATCTAAATGTCAGATTGCTATTTCAGTTAGTGCAAAAATCCTTTCTGAAAGTTCACGCTGGTGATGTATACTTGTTTTGACCCATTTTAATGCGGTGTAAGATTGAAGATCTATCATAGCATTTTCTCTGTGTCTTCTGTGCGTTTTCGGTTATTTGTGGGTCCACAGTTGGTTTCAGGCTTTCAGTACATGTTGTAGCTACTTAGCTAGAGGTCAGCAATTTACGCTAGTGATTTTGTTGCCATGGGTCCTCGCTGTGGATTGATATATAGTCCATATGTAGCTAATATACAGTTCTAAGAGCATCTCCAATCGGACTTGACTAATCTGACCCCATTTATGTTCGCCGGCTGCCCCATATTTGTCCGCCCGGGCAACCACACCTACCTCAAATCCATACAAAGCCATGCATATAGATCATATAGCACACAACCAATTCAACACAAGCCAAAATAATTTACAACAATTCATTCATAGGCATACATGATTGAATCAATCGCCCCCATTGTTGCGCTCATGGATCTCCTTTTTGTTGTGATCCACTTGTTGCAATTCTCATACATGAGGATAGTGTCGGCCGACATGATCCTTGACTCAGTGATCCTCATGAGTCCCACCTTCTCTTTCTCAAGCTCAATTGTCTCATGTGCCTTCGCCTTCTCAAGCTCCATTTTTTAGCCATTTCTCTTGCTTCTTCATGTCTATCCTGTCCCTCCATGATCACCCTATCTAGCACCCTCTCCAGGTCGAACTCCATTCCCTCCGGTTGCACAAACAAGAAGAGCTTGTACCTCTCCCTCTCCCTCTCCCTTTGCACATACAAGAAGAGCTTGTACCCCTCCCGTTTCTCCTAAGTTTTCTTCAACGTCTCCCCCCTTGTTGCAAAAGATGTCCGTCCATGTGGCGGACATTTTGCTTGCCGCGTCGTCATGCGCGTCCCTATCCTTCTCCCACTTCCTCCCTCTCAAGTGTCTATTCCTCTTTGGGTCGGTCCCATGTCAGTCCGCCCTCCATCTGGCTCATCGTCATCATCTAGTCCAATAGATTGGTGAGTTGACGGGGTTCTTGATATTTTCAAAGAGGTTTGACCACTTTGGTTTCCCATTCAATTGCACCCAACAATCCAAAATGATCCAAGAAACGAAGCAAGACAAGGAAGATGATGAACAATGTGAAGCAAACAAAACTTGCATGGCTATTGACTCCAATACCACTTTGGTGCCTATTCACCACTTGTGCATAGAAACTGCAGAACTTGTTCAAACAAAGGCGATTTTTGATTACCCATTTCATAGTTTGGAGGAGCTTCACCGTCATTTATCATATTCATCATGAACGAGTCCTAAAGATGCATCACAATGAAACTACCATCCTATAATTGATCTGATAAATGCACATGGGGCAAAAAAGACCTGAGCATTTAGTTGAGGAATTTCTTCAAACAGTTGCTACCGACGCCGAAGATCCCTGACGTTGTCCGTGACTGCTGGAGTTGTGGTGACTTGTACGGCGTGTCCAAGAGGCGTTTGCTTCCTGTGTGAAGCCATCCGAGATGTTGGACCATTGCGAAGCTGGAACGGCGTAGGGCGTGGCCGAGGGCACAGATGTGGTGAGCTCCATGTCAACGACGTCTTGCTCCGCCTTCTCGCGGGCGTGCTGCTGGGCGTGCTACTCCTTGCAGATGATGGTCTCCGCTTTTCTCCTAACGGTAGGGACCCTCATGTACTCTGCCGAGCCATCCTCCATGGTGCGGGCGGACGGCGGAGTGGGCTAGGACGACTAGGGTGAAGGAGAAGGTGGGCGGCGCAGATGCGGAAGAGGGCAACGCCTCAGACGCGGGAAAGGGAAGACAAACACATTAGAGAGAGTGGTCAATTTGGAGGGATTTGGGGTGGGTTCGGCTTGTCGGATCCGATGTGGTGGACGCATCCGGGTGGTCCCAAATCT